AAAAAATGCCCAAAATTCTGAGCCTTCTCTACTGCAAATCAAATTCCATACAAAAACGGCTCTTTATCGACGTTGGAGGAGGCTGCGAGGTCTTTTAATCTTTTCCTGCCAGTGAAAAACAAAAATAAGTCATAGAAACTCGAAAACAGGAAAAAGAGCACGGTTCACTGAGCCGAAAGTAGAAATTCCTCAACAAGAGAAAAAAGATAATAATAAGGGGCAGAGAAAGTAAAAGGCAAATATGACTTGATTTCGTAATTTCCTCTTTGGTTCTACGCCCCCTTGTCCTTGCATGGGACAAATATATCTCGCCACAGGCTCACCCGAGTGTTGCTGGAAAATAAATCCCCAGCATTGAAATAAACCAATAAAATTGCACATTAATCCGCTAAATTTCTCATGTGAATATAACACTACAAGTGCTTTTTCAACATCAGCATCGTCTTCTAGCTTCTTCCTGACCGGAATCGAAAGCTGCCATCTTGAAAAAGAGTTGGTAAGAAATTATAGGAGCTTATCATGAGGATCTGTGGTTGATTTATTTTAATTTGGTCGCGGGGGCTTTTCCTAAGAACATTTCACACGAAAAGAGTTTTGAGGGACAAGTAGCGGGTACTCGTCCCTTCAATTCAAACTGGTTTGAAGTCGCGGGACAAAAGTTTGGTCCTTGGGACTAAATTTTTTGACAAATATGGCTAGTCCACAAGATGGGGCTTGTGTCCGCTACTTTTTAAAGGGAGTAGTGGCATTGACTTGTCCCCTCAAATGCGGCGACCTTTAAATGTTGCAAGAGTTCACTGTGTGTGACGGCTTCAAAACTGCTCTTTCCTCCCCGGTCTGAATGAAGTTTACGTTATTTTCTGATTGTACAATTAAGAACTAGAGTTGTTTGTTTACATTGACGAAGATGTGGCAAAAGCAGGCCTAAATTCGTTCTAGAAATATTAGTTGAAGAGTGTAATTATCTTAGTCATTAGTCTCATATTTGCTCTGATGTTTGGTGTCTTTAAAATATTTCTAGCAGCAATGCAACACAGAAAAGGTACCGAATATCCTGATACGCTTCATTTTTGAACTCGCTAATGGTTACACTGGCTCTATGACTTGTAAACAGTATCTTGACATCCATAAAAATTATTTTCGACACTGATCAGAATGAAGGACAACGTGACTCACCTCCATAATACATCGTCAAAAAGAAAATGCCTTGTTTGAGATCTAGAAATCAATCAATCAATCAATCAATCAATCAATCAACAAGCAAGCAATCATCAGTCAGTCAGCCAGTCAGTCAATCAGTCAGTCAGTCAGTCAGTGAGTCAGTGAGTCAGTCAGTCAGGCAGTCCGTCAGTCAGACGTCAGTGAGTCAGTCAATCAGTCAAACGATGAATTCAGTTGATTAACCATTAGTAATCCATTACTTCTTTATATATAATTCTTATAATAGTTTGCATTCTACTTATAAATTCAGGGATCAATCTTTCAATATATATTAGCGGAGCTCCGGTGGCCCGAAGGGCCGCCAAGCGGAGCCCCATACTCATATAGGAAAGAAAAGGAAACCCATGAGTTGATTTTCTCTTGGTTATCATGGCTAGCGGTATCGCTTGTGGGCGCGTACGCACGACGGCGACGACGACGATGACGGAGTCGCGCAACACGGCGGCCATATATACTTCAAATGATAGGTTGACAGAGACATGCAGCCTTGGTTTACCGTGTACTTCTTTGATATTGGACATCCATGTTATGATCAATTGACACCTGTCAAAACAAGGTATCCGCTGACCAGTATCACGTGACTATATCGCGGGCTCAAGTTTAAAGCTTATCGGGGTCACTTGTTTTTTGGAAGTTGACCGCTGACCACGTGCTGATTTTCGATTGGATCGCGGGGTCGTGTCAGGTTAACTTGTTGAAAACAGGGCAGGATTGTTCGGAAGCCGGTTAACGCTAACCCAGGATTAAAAGTTTACCGAATTATAATTTTTTCTTCTATACAAATGTTTTTTGCTGCTTTGTTTTGTGTATACGATGATTATTAAAACTCAAAACAGAAGTTGTAACAATATACAGAAAACCTCACAATTCTACCTTTTCCTGGGTTAGCTTAATCGGGCTTTGAACAACCGGGCCCAGGAACTACCCTTTTAGGCTGGCCTAAATCAATATATTATAAAATAATTGAGCTACTACGCACGCTCTCATTGGTCGATAGCTGTGTTTAGATGAGAGTTTGTAAACACGGTTGTGACGTTTTAGATTCGGGCGTATTTTATAAAAGCAAGAGCACTTTTTCAGTGTTTACATAGCCTCATCTAAACACTCGGACGGTTGGGAGAATTCTCGAAAGTTATGCAAACCCGAAAGTTATGCAAACCCGAGACTACGTGTCGGGTTTGCATAACTGTCTCGAATTTCCCAACCCTCCTCGTGTTTAGATGAGGCTATGTAAACACGGAAAAAGTGCTCTATTGCTTAAATATTTCATACTGCCAACAGCCCATACCAAATATTGGACTTTAGAACTCTAAAGAAAAACGAAGGGTAACCTGTTATGCTGCATGTTAGGCACATTACGTAGTGATGTAGCGGATGCAACATTCACCAAGTAATGTTACAAATATTGCATGGGGATAGATAGTGTTGTTTTGTATTTACTTTCTCTTGTCATTGTGAGGATATTTCAAGTTATCGCGGTGGCCCCATGGTTAGTGCACTCATCTCCGGATCGCCGAGCGGTCCGGGTTCGAGCCCTGGTCGGGGACATTGTGTTGTGTCAAGATAATCTCTTGGTTGTGTTCTTGGCAAGACACTTTACTCTCACATTGCCTCTTTCCACCCAGGTGTATAAATGGGTAGTGGCGAATTTAATGCTGGGGGTAACCCTACGATGGACTAACATCCAATCCAGAGGGGAGTGTAAATATTCCTAGTCGCTTCATGCTACTGGGAACGGCTGATAGGCCCCTTTGCCCATATGTAGAGTTTGCTTTCACATGAGATGGACGGATGCATACTATTTCCACAGTTTGCATTGCGCATCTTCTAAAGCTTAGCCTAAATTTTTCAAATTCGTCTTTGTAATCCGTGTTAATCTTCTCCATCCTTAATCATCCTTGTTCATTTATGATTTATCATTATCTCTTTGATGTTTTTCCATCTCTAATAGCAGGTTTCTTTTAATTGGAAGGTAATTCTGTGCGCGGCCAAAAAAAAAAAAAAAAAAAAATGCCGCGAATAAGCTCCTTTAATTGGTTAGATTAATTTCCACACAGTACAATAAGTAAGTAAGTAAGTAAGTAAGTAATAAGTACAATAAGTGTGTAATTTTGCTAACTTTTTAAATTTCAGCCGGACGAGCCATTGAATCTGAATATCAGTGTTACTTAAAGAACGAAAGAACGAAAGGCACAACGCAGCATCCTTCATGTTGAGTTCAGTCCATTTTCTTAAGGCAACGCTCTCTCGTGGTATACCATGGAATATCCCACTTGTCACAAGTGACTCGTGGGATATTCCATGGTACACCACTCGAAAGCGTTGCATGACTAGGTTATCGTCATATAATCATACAATCGTGTCTTATCTTCTCTATGAGTTCGTCGAGCGAGAAACAGATAATCAGAGAGAAGCTCTATCAACGCAAAATCCTTTAACGGTTAGGATAGATGCTTTATTCGATATATACCTGAGATGATGTCGTCTTCACTGCGTGATTGATCTTCACGATCACTGTCCAGCTTCTCCTTCTTAGATGGTGGCTGTTGAACTTTTTTCTCCTGCTCGATCAGCTCTTTTTTCCATTGTACCAATACAAAATCGGCTGCTTCTTTAAGCCGTTGATCATGGTGAGGACCGGGCACTAACTCCGCCTCAGCACCATCCTTGAGCCAGCGCCAATGGCTCACGGCCTTCAGCTCGGCCTGAGAATTAAAATCTTGTGCGGTTTTGGGAGGATTGCTTGTCAGATACACTCTGACAAGTTGTCGGAGAACTTTGGCATCTAACAGAGACGTCACTTCTCCAGAGGGCGGTTCTTCAGATTTTGTCCACGGTAGTAATGACAGATCCTCTGGAGGACACTGTTTCACATATTAGAAAAAGCAAATAAGGTCACTTGAATGTGCTTCTAATTTCCGCAGTAATAGTAGATAAGGGGGATTTTAAAGTAAATTGCACTAAGAGTATCAAACTGAGTATTGACATTGAGTACTGACTTACTTAGTAGTACGTGCTTATTATTTATAATTTATTATTATTATTATTATTATTATTGATAAGTTAATAAAGATGGTGAATTTTAAGCTCGGTANGGAGAGCAAGGTCATTTAACTGAGTTCATATATGACAGGTGTCCTGCATACTGCTAGGATCAACGCTATCGAATTCATCGTGAGTAGTGATAAGTTAACTTATTTCGATTCCTGTCGGGGACTCAGAATTTTTCTTTGTCCCACGCTCGTATCATGTTGATTAATTCACCTTCACATTATTATTATTATTATTTTTGATATTACTAACAGAGCACACGAAGACTCCATCAAACGCAGGATGTTTTTCCGCGAACTTGCAATCACTAATTTCGAGTTCCCAAAGGTAAACTTTAGGAATGATGCCATTGCGGACTTTGATCAGAGATTTTCCTCCATATTCCACGAAAAAAACAGGATCTGCGAACAGCCATACTTAAGGCATTAAATAAAAAGCGAGTTTGTTAGTTTGATTAGGGCTTGCATGCATCTCAAAGAAAGGTTATTATATAAATAACTAAGAGTAATTTAAAACGTTTCAACAAAACCACACGACAGAATCTTTTCAACTGCATGTTTATCAAATCGGAGGGACTGGATAAATTACATGGCGTCTGCACGCATTTATAGGGAAGATATTTGTTTACTTTGTTTTTGTCATTGAAATGTTCAAAACGTTAAACAAAAGAATTCTTTGTTTCACCAGCCAATAGAGCGATGCACCCACGTGTCCAGCTGCCATGCAAATTTATTGAAACAAAAGAAAGTGTTTACATAAGAGAAGAGTTCAACTCCCACAGGATTGGTTTGGCACACCAACATGGCCGCCGTTTCATTGTTTTGGAACACCAATGGACCTTTTTCGACTGGGCGGTTTGTTGCCCCATTTCAGACCATGTGATGATACTCTTGAGAATTCTTCCTTTCAATTTTTCAAATAGTTGCGCGTATATGAATAAATAATTTTTAGATGATAAAAGAACAATTCTCTAGAGAATAACACGTGGTCTGTAATGGGACAACAAACCGCCCAAGCGAAAAAGGTCTATATGGCTGCCATGACGCTCCATAGCTCTCTGGCTGGTGACGTCACTGATATCTTTGCTATAGCAATCAAATCAAACTAAGAGTGTCTGCGTACTTGAGAGGCTTCTCTCATCGTTTTTGATCAGAGCCTACTCGCAGGCTAGTGGAAACTGCCCGGTGTTCTAGGTTTTTGAAACACTTCGATCCGACTGTCGCGCAATTAACTAACTAGAATCAAAGGCAAGTAAACTCCTGAATTTCGTAATCATGTCACATCTCATCTAACAAAACCAATATGAGGACATCTGAAAGTAAACCCTCGAATAGCAGCTCCTATCTCTAACAAATAACCGAGCGGGATATCAACGGTTAAATCTGAGTATAAGGTGTCTCAAAACCAGGGGCTATAATCGGGGACGGAGACCGTAAGCCCTGTGATATGGGACAATTTATCTATTTTTATAACAAATTGCGCCACAAACTCGTCCCCAGGGCCTTCTCCTCGACGATTTTCAGGGAGAAGACACTGGTGAAGGCTGGGTCACGTGGTACAAAATCTCCAAAAATCTTGACGATTTCTATCACGTGACATTTTGAAAAGACCAAAACAAAATGGCAGCCAAAGTTGTGTTCGAAATTTACCTAAGAACGCGGAAACGTTATGCTACTTATGCACGAGACAGTGATGGCTTCCTAGAAAGATAGCACATTATTTTCGCTGGGTTTCTGGAAGCAGGTCGCTTAGTTAAAGAATCTGGAGCTATGGTACGTAAAATTACATCCAGATATGTAAGTTGCCTGTTTGTACTTTACATGAAAGACTGTAACTATTTGAAATAAAGAAAATTATAGTTATTTTTCCTACGGTGCTTTCAGTTTTTCTGTAGCTCTCAATTCCGATTGAGCTTAAAAGATATAAACTGAGCCGAGTGACTCAAAATGAGTGGAATTTTTTTGACCTAAACAAAAACGAGACCTAGTTGCATCGAGTTAAATTTTCTACAATTGAATTTAAGCCAATTGTTTAACTTGTGTTTACCTGGGTGGCCGTTCTTGTTGCGTAATGCTTTAATTGATGGTCGACTTTATGTTGAGTACTAGTCAGAACGTGACCGTTATTCTCTCCGGCAGAGTGATAATTCGACTCTGAAAAAGAAATATGCTAGAACTTATGTGCTAAATTCTCATTTTTTTTTCATAGAATTGTAGATAAATGGAATGAACTACCATTGGGCACTTGCTGTGAATCCAATCTGAGAGCTTTTAAGGCGAAACCTAGAAAATTATTTATGTCGTGATATAATGTGAGGGCTTGAAGGGATTTTATTTCATTTTATTATTTTATTTTTTTTTTCCCCCTTTTGGTGGTCTGTTTTTATATGGGGTTTTAACTCCTTTACAGATCGTCCATATGGCTTATGCTTTTTTGGAGTAGTCATTAAATTGTAATAAATAAATAATAAATAAATAAATAAATAAGTAAATAAGTGAGTGAGTGAGTGAGTACGTAAGTAAAATCCGGTTGATTATTAGACTGTTTTTTGAGTAAAGTTAGCCTGAAATCAACCTTGCTCTAGTAAATGATTTGCCTGAACTATGTGTTGTATGGTTTTTCTTTTCAATTTCAGAATTCATGTAATCGAGAATGAGTTGATCTTAAGAAATTATTACAAGTTGTTAATTATTACAAATAAAACGCCCGCTGGCTAAAAATTTCAAAAAAGATCATGAGGTTTCGGCCGTCGATCTACAGCCTTCGACGGATAAAAAATGGAATGCAGAATGATAAAATATAAGCAAGAAAAGGCGAGATAAAAATAATAAGAAAAACAAAAGCAAAGTAAAAATGTGTAAATTAGGTGACTATTGTTTAAAAAGAATACTCTACTGGTTTGAAATCAGCTTAGAATTATTGTAATGTTTTATTATAATTATAGAATTATTGGAGGTTTTCCAGAAAATGAACTGCACAAAATGAATGTGTTAATTGTGGTTTATAGGCTCGATTTCCTTTGCCACATGAGCGCGCAGATGGTGAGCGAATTCCATGGATATGTTGGTGAAAGAAAATAAGTAAATCCTGTAAATTTCAATCGCTTGGACGTTTGCCACACTTACTTAGCAAGCACTTCTGTCATTACGAACCATATCGATCGTCTTTGCTGGCAGATAGTTATGCCGCAGTTTGTTGTTATGCATTAGCTGTCTGGATGGATAATGCATCCTCTAGTATAAAAACACCCAATATGTATCAAACACTTGGGAGAGTGTTTCACCACGTACCAAACACCTTACACTTGCATCAAAACCACAGGGCTATGCTGTGCTATGATTTGGACTCTCTTCCCAGTGTTTGAAAATGTGTTGAATTGTTGTCATGTTTGTCATGATCATGGGATAGAAGTCAAAGTAATGGGTAGAGAAACAACATCAGGTAAATGTAATTTGTGATAGTCAGTATTGACATAAATTAATATTTTGCCGACACGGATCAGAGAACTGGGTGCCAGGGTAGTAGGCAAAGACTCATGGGTGGTACGTTTGTGAAAAAGAGGCGGTTGAGAAACTTATGACATTCTACGGTCAAAGCCTTGCACTTGCACTTTGGGATAAGGTTTACTTTTATTGTGTAATTAGCGTTATCTGATTTGTTTGTTTGTTTGTTTGTTTGTTTTTTTCATTCTGTTGTTTATATATCAACCTTAAAAAACCCCAAAGGTGGCGCCACTGCATATGGTCGGGGGTACACGGTCCCTATTTTCCTAGCAAGAGGTTTTTAGGGTTTACGTGTCGGCTTTGGCGCATGTAGTACGTTACTTGATGTATCTCTTATCCACTTTGTTGTAAGCTTATTGCCACAATTAAAACATATCTTGGGCCAGGCTAACCAACGCGTCCATGCCTCAACCTTTGAATGCGTTCGGTTGTGTAGTGAAGGCAAAATTACAGGTTTCACAACTTTTTTCTCAAGGTTAACCCTTTTATTTACTGTTGACACTGGTAAGATTCACTGCTTGCCTGACTGGTAGAAAATCAAAAAAGTAAGAAACTAAAGAATTGCAAAGAAAAATCACCACCTGGCTGTAATTCTGTAAACAAAGAAGTTTGTGAAAACAAATAGTCTATGTATTAAAAGAAAAGAGATAAATTGTTATAGAGTAGCACGAGCAGTACATATCTAGACAATCTATCTCTATTGTCGTCCTGTGGTAAGATTCTCTTGTAAATTTGTTATCACCCCTAAACCTTTTTCAGAACAGCTTTTATTGGCCCTTTCCAGTGCCAAGATGGTAATCAAAGGAAATTTGGCCACAGCACTTTAATTGACATCCATCCAGAGGTATTTATATCCTCAGGGCCCGGTTGTTCAAAACCGAGATTAAACTAACCTCCGATTAAATTTCCTAATCGTGGGTTAGAAAACGGTTGTTCAAAAGGAGATTAATCCGTCGAATTACTAATCCGTGATTGCGCGTAAAGTGAATTATTTTAATTGATTATAATGCATTCTTACGCTATTTTACGTCATAGAATTGCGCGAAACTTGTTTTCAAATGGCTTCCCCGGCGAATAAACCGCCCGTGAAACTGTGGCCTTGTTTACTCCGACGGTATCGCCGATAACTTGACGAAAGTTGACACTAGCATAAAATCATAGTACTAGCAGCACTTTGGTCTATTGGCTCAAGAGCATAGCCACGCTTCGTTTTTCTCCGCAAATCCGCCTCTGTGAGGTTTGTGGTGTATTCAATGGACGCTCTCCCGAATCTCTAACGAGTCCGAAGCTCTTCCCGCTATAAACGAGTATGTTATGATTATATCGATAACATTTGTCCAACGCGAGGGAGATGAAACAACAAGCCGAATATTTTTCTTCGAGTTAATCCTCCTCCGGAGGTGCATTAAATTTAACCCGCCGATTAGAGTTTGATTAGCGTTAATCGGGCTTTGAGCAACGCAATCTAATCGCAGATTAAATTTTAATCGTCGGTTAAGCAATTTAATCCCCGATTAGCGCTAATCGCGGTTTTGAACAACCGGGCCCAGATCTCACTTCTCCAGTGGGGAGGAGACCCCGGAGGACGCCAGACAGGAAAAAGGCAATAAATTCAAATTCCTTCCTCTGCATTTATCTGTAGATTAGTTCTCAATAAACACATAATAGATATAAATGATCTCTTTCACCTATAAGAACAATGAGGTTGAAATTTGCAAATTTTAAGAGTACTTAAAGAATAAACCTGAGGCTGAGGTTGAGATTTTGAAAAGGATATAATTTTGTGTTGAAAATTCGAACTGTTATGTCTCAGTTATGTTTGTAAACCTAACCTAAACCGTATTAAAATCTTCATTTCTCTAAACAGCAAAACTAACCAAAAAGCAACAAAAATAGCACTAGCCGTATGTTCG